TGTTCACACTGTATACTCTAAAAGTTAAGAACATAAGGTCTTACATGTGTTAATCACCTTGATTTAATCATTCTATCATGCAAATGCATACCAAAACACCACATTGTGCCCTCATGTTTAATTGACAATAATTACACAAATACTTAATTTTTTAATTAAAAAAGAAGTGGCCATACTAGATTAGGATGGGCCCTAAACCTAAGAGAAAGAAGAGAGTTTGGGACTTAGAGACACAGGGAAGATGGCACATCACAACAGGGGTGGAACCAGAGGGACGCAGCTACTAGCCAAGGACCCTGCAGCCACAAGAAGAGAGTAGAGGCAGGAAGGAACCTCCTCCTGAGCCTGGGCAGACGCGGCCCTGGCCCACCTTCATCTCAGACGTCCACCCTACAGAAGTGAGAACAGATTTCCAACTGCTGTCAAGGCCACACAGCCTGTGGTGCTTGGTGCCAGCAGCCACAGGAGAGACGCTCACGTCTCGGGGGACTGGTGGCAGAGGGCAGCCCTGGGCCACCCTTTTCATTTCATTAGCCAAGGCTGCACACCTGCCAGCCGTCTTACTCAACCAGACTCAAGACCATTTGCTGGGTGAAGTGGCACACACTTGTAATCTCAATAGACCCAGAGGCTGAGGCAGGAGGATCTCAAGTTCAAGTCCAGCCACAGCAACTTAATGAGGCCCTAAGCAATTCAGCGAGACCCTGTCTCTAAATACATACCTACCTACCTTCAGGCTGGTGACTTAGCTCAGTGGTAAAGCACCCCGAGTTCAATCCCTGTTTGTGTGTGTGTGTGTGTGTGTGTAACTTTTCTCTAGTGGTTCTCTAAGGTTTCAACTTCCTTCAGCTCTTTCCCATTTAGTCCCTCAGCCTCACACCTGCATGGGCTGGGAATGCTAACAGAAGGAGCTAGAAATACAGTGAGGATCTAAATCAGAGACAGGTGGCTCTCTGGCCATCTCGACCTCCTTTACATTGAACACCATATGGGGGAAGACAGTGTTTAAAAAAAAAATGGTGCAGTGCTGTGACCTGAACCCTCCCCACTGTCCAAATTCACATGTGGCAGTCCTAATGCCCAGTCTCTCAGAATAGAATGTATTTGGAGGCAGTTTTATTAAGATGAGATCATCAGGGGCTAGGGGCAAAGCTTGGTGGTACAGTGCTTGCTTAGCATGGAAGGCCCTACAGTGGATCTACAGCACTGAGCGAGTGCGAGCGAGTGCTATCATTAAAGTAGGCCCTGCTCCCATACCGCCATGTCCTTATAAGAAAAGGAGACTGGGCCAATACACATAGGGACCAACATCTGAACTCACAGGGAGGTGGCCATCTTAAGACCAAAGAGAAACCAACCAACCTACTGGCACTTGGATCTCCGACTCCACCCTTCAGAGTCGAGAGAGAACAAAATTCCTGCTGCTGAAGCCTCCTGGTGCGGGGTTCTTGGTTGCGGCAGCCTGACCACACTCACATGGATGCCAAATTGCCTTGAGAGTCAGGCCACACTCCAAAACATACCCTGAAAACACATTCCAAACCGACTGCCTATCTCAGATCATCAAGTCCATTTTAAAAAGAAAAAAAAAAAAAGGCACAATCAAGAAAGTTCCATTCAAGGGGCTGGAGATGTGGCTCAAGCGGTAGCGCGCTCGCCTGGCATGCGTGCGGCCTGGGTTCGATCCTCAGTACCACATACAAAGATGTTGTGTCCGCCAATAACTAAGAAAAAATAAGTATTAAAAAAATTTTTTAAAAAAAGTTCCATTCAAGCTCTGAGCATATTTCTTGCCTAACGCAACGCTCTTCAGAAGCCTGAGAATCCATAGTGTGTCCCAAGAGTGGTCCTGTGAACCCAGACACACAGCAGTGCCACGCTGCCTGCAGAGCCCTGAGCAAGAGGTTATGTCTACATCATTCCCTTATTGTATTTAACATCCATGATGCTAAAGAGCTCCTGGAAATTATTGAGCCCTCTGTTCTTCATCCTGCAAAAGATTTTTTTGTGGCACATTTTAATAGCTACATTCACCACCTTTTTAATGAAGTGCTGGTAACTTGTCCCAGCCCAGAAAGGAGGGACTGAGGCAACTCTTTAGCCTAAAGAGGGTGCTAGTTGTGGGGGTGGGGCGGGGGGAGTCCACTCAGCTGAATGGGAGAAGCTCAAGACAGTCAAGGAGCCATTTAGAAAAAGCTATAACCTTTGCTTCCCCAAAGCATTATGCACACAAAAATTCTGCATAAAATTTCAAGAGGCTCATGAACCCTTTTTGGTGCCCATGCACCAACCCCAGATGTAAAGAACCCCTGACCTAGTTTCTAGAATTGACTCAGCGTTGTCATTACCTAGAGAGAAGCACATATTGAAATGCTCTCCGCCACATCCTTCATAAGAGCAAAAGACTGGAATTAATCTGAAGGATTATTAATTATGGAACATCAGAGTAATACCAAAATGGAATGGATCCAGGAGTGTCCCACACAAATACCCTAATGTACTGTTAAGTGCAAAGCCACAAGGTACAGAACAAAGAGTCAAGTTTGATTGCATAAGCATCACGCTTCTAAAAGGATATACAAGAAATGAAACAATGTGTCTGAGATAAAGGAATTGAAGCTGGAGTCTAGAAATTTTTTTTAATCCTTGTTCTTGCAATGCCAATGAAAAGAAAGTTAGTTGGGATCGATCGAGGATGGGTGGGTGGGTGAGGGAGAGAGAGAAGAGAGAAGGGGGAGAGTGTTTTAAAAGGATTTCTGCCTTGCTAAATCCCAAAATATCCCCAGCCCTGAGAAGAGCTGTATCATAGAAAATCTTGGCACAAAACAAACAGGAAAGCATCTCATCAATGCTTTCCCAGGCTCGGCGGCGGCTGTTGCTGCGGCTGCTGCTGCTGCTGTGGCTGAGGGCAGCTGAACTGCCCTCCCACAGTGTGGCTTATTCCTGTTGCTGAACCAATTACGGGACATGATAACAGCAGTGCCAATATTATTTTTTAAAGGCTGGTGTTTCTCACTAACTACCCATTAAAGCGATCTCCTTGCTCCAGCTACAGCAGGCGAAAGGGCAGATCCAGATGGTACAAACAATGCATATTCAGGTTCAATCTGCATGAAGCCAGTCATCAAATAACCATTAGTAGTCTGAGAGTCCCCAGATGCCTGACACCCACAGGTGTGTCCAGGTGAGAGGGCTGTCTGGGCTCAGCAAACTATCTTCACACCCCCAAGAGCTGCATTTGCCTAAGTATCAGAACAGTTAGCAACAGCTAGGAGGGTTGCTTGGTAACCTGGCAACAGGCTGCACTTGGTGTTCAGGAGCAGGGGGAGAGGACTGCCTCGCCCTCCTCCAGGGGCCCCCCTGACTCCTAACCCTGTGATGGCCAGGAAGGTCCAGTAATCCCCAGGCTGTCTTGTAGAGCCACCAGCTCCCCTGGTCTGGTCCTTGCTGTGGCTCCATTGGAAAAAGTCTATCAAAAGGATTGCCAATTACTGTTTTTGAGTGACAGGCACTGAATCTCTTCCTCCTACCCCCACCTCTGTGGCTTTAAAGATAAGCAATGGGATAGAAAAAATTCAGGCCAACTTTTGTCGTCCTACAGAAGGCTCAGAATCAGGACTGCAAAATCTTCAAAGGGACACACGAAGCCTAGGCATACGATTGCTTGTGGGAATCCAGAGAGGCCCATGTGCCTGTGTCTGGACTCAGCCTCCAAAATGACAAGTTTTATAGGAACATGGTGCCCACCCTCATCTCCAGAGGCAGCCCACCACACTCTCCAGGAAAGGAGAGGAGTGGGCAGCCCCCCCGGCCCTCCCAATCCGATTGTGAATGAGCTATGCAGCTGGAGGCAGAGGTGGTATTCTGACCCCTGTTACTCGAGCTCGTGCTAGATGAACTTTTATTTCCTGGATATATCCCATGTGGGAGGTGGCGGGGGCAGTGGGGGTGAGCGGGGTCAAAGAGACATTCTGTTCTCCATGAATAATGCACGCAGGGCATGACCTGAACCCAGACCACTGAGACCCAGCCACGGTGAGGCTCCAGCTTTCCACAGCTTCCCACGGGGGGCTGGTGACCATCTCAGATATGATGAAAATACCAACTTAAAACGCCAGCATGGAAATGGGAAAGGACTTTGTCCCCTTCAGTCACTCTGTGAAGACCGTGACCAGTCACTGGCCATCCATTCCCAATTCACTCAAGACAGATGCCACAGAGGCAGGTGCCCATCTCAACATGGTATGCTGGGTACACTGGTCATCTACGGGCAGCACTTTGCCTAGCTAACATCACAGGAGAGTGAGGAGCGAACACGTCACAGCACCAGGGACTTGCTGCACCAAACCAGCACTTCCTAAAAAAGTTCAAAGGAAAACACAGGTGTGCAACTTGTGCTAACTGGCCCTCAAATGACCCACTTGTCCTCACTGAACAATGACACGGGGGAGTGGGGGAGGATCTTGCTCCCAAGGCTGGAAAACCACAGTCCCCTGGMATCCACAGCTGCTCAAAGGGCGGCAGCCCAGCCTGCACCGCTCCCCCAAGACTTGGGAATTGCTACCGGGCTCTTGAGCAATGCCCGCCTCTAATGCAGAGCCAACTGCATGGCTTCGCTGTGTCAGTTTTACTGGCTGCACACAGAATTAGGGAGAGACACCGCCAGTTTCCCAGGTGAATCAAAAAGATGAGCATCAAAAAAGGGGAGCAAAGAGGGGGAGACAGAGGGACAAATGCCCACACTCTACCCATTCAACCTGACCCTGTCCATTCGTCCACCTTGCAAAGAGGATCAAAAGGTGCCAATGCCATCTTTACAGCAAGCAGGTAGTTTGAGAACAGATGAGAAAGGCGTCTCAGGCCAGAGCCAGTGTGGCTTTCAGGCAGCAGTGGGCCAAGTCCCTGGAGGGGCAGACGGAGCTCTGGCACCTCCCCTGTGGTTCTCCTGCCCCACCCCAAGTCTACACGTCTGGCTTGGCCGTCTACAGCAGGGAGCTTGCCTGGAAGAAGCCCAGTGCTACCTATCCGGATGGAGAGTTCACTCTCAGGGAGGAGCAGCGTGGGACCCGTGGGATCAGACTTCTTCATCAATGCAGTGTCGAAGTTCAGTGCCAGGGCCGTCTGAGGGTCTTCTGCTGCACCCTGAAACGAGAAGCAGAGTGTCATTACAGCACCTCATCTCCATGGGGCCCCCAGACCCTCTGGACCATGGTACCAAGGCAACTGGCCCTCATCTGCCAAGAGCACCAGGGCTGAGCTGGACCCTGGGCTCACGTGACTTTCAGGGAGGGAGGAAGGAGGGTAGGAAGATGAAAGACGTCTGGGGTAGAGGACAAAAACAAGATCCGAGGAGTTGGTACTGATCCTAGAGATGGGAAACACGTACAACTGGCAAGACTGGGGTCTGCACACCTAACCCCACTACGCACTTCATCAATGCCAATGATGGGCACAGGGGACCTAGCTCCAGGCTTATCAAAAGAAGCCCCTGTGGCCAGTCTACTCAGATGGCAGCTACGGCCCAGGATCCAAGGTCAGTGTGTCTGGGAAGCCGCCATCTTTGTATTTCTCAAGAGATAAAAGGAGGAGACCCAAATAGAAGTATCTGAGAGAAGTGGTGGCACCTGGAGTTTGCAGTCACAGCCAGATGGCCCAAAGCCACTCTCTGTGCTGCCCTGACAAGTTGATAGACCATTTCACACTAACCAGGCAAAGGCCTGTGTGCAGCTCCCACAAACCTTTAGTGGCCTCCGACTTTATGGACACTTGGTGAACAAGACGAGGTCCCACTCTTACAGATCCAACAAGAAAACCGGGACGGACCACGAGCATCTCCCCGGAGGCCCTGGGGAAGCGCTGACCCTGCAGGCCGCCAACAAAGCACAGGATCTCCAGGATCAAGAGGCGGACAAGGGGCTCAGCCCTGCACGACACTCTGCTTCATCCAAAGACCTCAAGGGTAAGGGCAAGTAATCACCCCCCATGGACAAAAAACAGCACATCTCTTCAAGACCAGGTGTCACCGACTGTCCAGGTAGCAGTGACAAAATATCAAACTAAGTAGCTTGTGGAAGTAGGGAGGTCCACAGTCAGGCTGCCAGGGCGGGGACGGGTTCCGTGTCTGGCATGCGTTTTCTCTGACCTTCAGGCTGTGTGGTCACTGGGGAAGGGCTAGGAGTCCCCCTCCAGGGCCTTTAGGGCATTGACTCTACTGGTTGTGGGCTCCACCCTCATGATCCATCTCCTCCCAGAGGTCCACTCCTAAAGCCACCCTAGAGGTGGGGATTTCTACATATGAATGTTGAGGGGACACAAGCATTGCCTCCAAATGAAAGTTTCCATTTAAAATATGTGACACTAACATGGGAGAGGAAATGGCTTGTAATCCAAGCGCAGAGATGTGTCTACTTCCAAGAAAAGACTAAAACTGGGTTTTTGGTTAAGTTTCTTTTGTGAAGGAATTTCAGGAAAGGTGTAGCAGGCTTTATCCTACACATGCACACACGAACACATGCACACTTATACACACATGCAGATACATGTGCATGTACAAACACCTCTTGCTTTCTCATGGCCATGATGAGCAAGGATAAGAGAGCCTAATGATTTTTTTTTCTTACTACATGAAAAATGACCCTGAGCCTCTCCTGCGTCTTTCCATTTGTCCAATGCATCAATGTCATCCTAATCCTTCATTTGCAATATCCCTGATAACGTACCTTAAAGCGGGGGTCAACCCTCATTTAGCCTTATTTTCAAAGGAAGAAGAGAAGCCTCCAAGCCCCGTCCGAGCCTCCCCCATATGGTCCTGGCTATGACCCTGGAATCAACCTCCTGCCTGGAGGCAGCCAGCACTGCAGGTGGATGGATGCTGCAGCACGGTAGAGGGGCACGCAGGCCAGTCCCTGCCTCTGCAGAAGCCCCTCTGGCCACCCCCAAGTGACAGCTGGTGTCTGATGTGCCTGGGGCACTGAGTCACAGCTCTCTGTCTGTTTACATGCTTTAATTATTTCTAACTCTCTGCCTCCTGCTGACATCTGAGGGATCACTGGCAGCCATAAAAGACAGTCCGCTAGGAAACTGCGTCCTACCGCCGACTCGGCTTCCTTTGTTAAAAAAAAAAAAAAAAGACAAAGTGATTGATATGTAACCAGGGGGATAATGCAGAAAGAGCTGCTGTATTACGGGAGCATGCGGCAGCATTAATACGCACAGGGCTGGGACTGCGTGTTCGACCACAGCCCACTCAGGAAGGGGCAGCTCAGAGACCCCAGGTTACTCTAGAACAGTGGTTTTCAATGAGGTGATTTCACATGGTCCCACTGGGCCACCAGGGATGTTTGTGGGATGTCACTGTGGGGGTGGGGGTGCTGCTGGTGTCTCAGGTGGGTAGAGACCAAGGATGCTGCACAAGACCCTGCAGTGCACAGGGGCCACCACAGCAAGGCTCGCTCTGGCTAATGCCACAGTACCAAGGCTGAGAACTTTCTGAGGACGACGAATGGGCAGGACCCCAAGGCTGCCCACATTGGCACACAGCAATACTGGGCATTTGTTCTCTCCTGTGCCACTATCTCTAGGCAGGCTGCCTGCCTGCCCTCGTGTATCCAGTCAAGTTTCACTTAAGCATCAACCATCGCCCGAGACATCCCAGACATCCTAGGGACATGACACAGCCACATCCCACATTCTCATGATCTCTCCTTATCCTTCGAGACCATAATAACCAATCGAGGACAAGCTAAAGGCCCAGGTAGTGATGATGCCGAACAGACTCACATACGGAGTCTACGGCAACCCTCCCGGTGGATCAGCATTTGACCCACGCTAGCCTACCACAAACGTAGACGTGGTGTTACCAGCAGCAGGAGGCTGAGAAAGCCGTGTTTCAGCAAAGACCTGAAGGCAAAGGAAGAAGAAACACGGGTACCCCCACCCCTCCATATCCTTCTGCCACCTTATCAACCTATATTTTGTTGGTTATGTTGCTTTCTATCAGCATTTTGGGAGACAGGGGTAAGTGCACTAAGAAAATTCCACCTAGAAGCTGCCCTCTCTAAGGCTAGCCCAGGACCCACTCCCACCTGTGCTCCAAACACTCAGCCCTCAGAAGGTGGCGCTGCACGTGCATCGCGCTACTCTAACAGCTGAGATACTGACTGGGCCTCGGAACCCATCAACAGATGAGCAGGTGAAGAAAATGTGGCCCACGTTTCCTCAAGCCACAGATTTACACATGTGTGCAAATGTCACACCAAATCCCATTAATGTGCCCAACAATACGTGTTAATAAAAAGTGGCAGGGCCAAGCAAGCTCCAGCAGTGGCAGAAGCACCTCCGAGGGGAGCCCAGGCCAGCACCTCCTCCATCCCCACACCTGGCCAGCCCTCCACTGGCCTATCCAGACATTGGCCTCCAGGGGTCCTCCCAGACCCCCCACCCGATTCCCAACATGCCTCGCCCGCCACTCTCAAATGCTGCCAAGGAAACCAGAGAACTATATCCCTCCAAGCTCCAGAGGGCAGCCCCACAGAGAGCGGCCAACTGTGCCTCGGTGGCTTTATCGTCATGTCCCTGGCAGTTGGGGGGAAAGTTGGCAGTCACCTGCTGGGACAAGGTGGCTCTACCTGCTGGGTTGACACTGCAGCTTCTCAGGGAGCCCTGTCCCCTCACTGGGCACTCAAGTGCAGGGACACTCAAGTTCCACCTGGATGCCTTCAACAGACGTGGCCTTGCAGGAGGGACCAAGGCTCCAGGTAGAAACGCTTCCCTGAGGCTCCTCTCTTCGACATTCTTCTGTACATTTCTGGGGCTTTTTATTCTTCTTTTGACATCCCTGCAAAGCCTTTCCCTTCGCACTGCCTCCACCAGCCCTGGCAGCCCCACACGGCCAGCAAGGCGAGGGTGCTCCATCCCAGGGCCAACACGCTGCTCTCGACTTTCCACCACAGCCCTGGGAGTCTGCCTGGCTGCTCATCACAGGAACCATGAGTCACCTTCCTCCGTGTCCCCTCCAGAGTGGGCCCCTGAGGCTTTGGAAAATTCAGGTTTGCTGTGTCACCTTGCAGTTTCCAAATGTCAGAGTGTCAGATACACCAGCCCCTCCCAAGGTGCAAAAAGGCTCCCTTCCTTCACCACCACCTCCTTGCCCAAGTCCCCCTCCCAGCCTCCCTCCCACCTCCTCACCCTTCTCCAAACCCAGCTCGGTACGGAAAGCCAAGTGCAGGCCGCTGGAGGCAGGAGGCCACCCCACCCAGTGGGCAGCAGAACTGGAGACTGCGGTCCTCCTCCAGTGAGATCATTATCATGATGATGATTATTATTACTATTATGATGCATGGTTAGGGGCCAGCCACGGCTCAGAATAAACAGCAATTTCCACCTACTCTGGAAAGATGTGCAAAGCAGGAGCTGGAAAAGAATAGCATTTTCCAGAAGGAAGAGAGAGGAAGTGGACAGAAGGGGAAGGAGAGAAGAAATGGAATACAGTCAGGAGGAGCGGGCAGGAGGAGGAGACAGCCCTGCAACCCCCACCCCCCAATCTAAACGAACACTTCAAAAATAGCATCTCCTTCCAGAAACAAACCCCAGACACTGCTCCTCGGGGCTTGCTGCCCAAGGTGAGGAAGACCACTGCCAAGTGCTGAGGCCTCCAGAACCCTCAAGAGACAAGTCACCAAAGCAACAAGCTAGAATGTCACTGAAGGAATGGAGTGTCCAGGTGGAGTTTGTAACAGGAACTAAAGACCCCAAGCCAGGCACAACCAGATAAGCATCAGCAAGTACTAGGCACAGCCACCCAACTCCCCGTTAGCAGCCTGGCACATCTGCTCCGGGTCCCAATAGTGAGCTCAATGTGTTTCATGCCACTTGTTCTCTGGTTCTCACCACTGGGGTGTCTCAGGGTGGGGAAAGGTTAAGGGGACCAACCTCTGCTTCCCACAGGTGCAGGAGGGAAGCCTGACCTTTCCAAACCCACACCCTCCTTCCACCAAACGGATGGGGTGGGGGTCTCCCCGACCTCTCCACCAGGTTTCAGCCAATGCAGACTCTGGGCTCCCTGGGCCTCTTGGGGAGCAGTCTTTATAAATATATAGGCATATATATAAATTCTTCTTTAATTCGGACACATCCCTTTATTT